CGAGTAAAATAGAAATCGACAACGACATTAAATATCATGTTGTAGGTAACCCCGAGCATCTAGGTCGTGGTATGCGGGCGTCTCATCCGAACCACACGGAAAGAAGGGTTTGGTGAAGAGTGGAAAGGCATGTATAAGAAAAGAGAACGACATAAGGAGCACATGAAGGATTTTTTTTGAGCAAAGCTGCCAAAAAATTTAGGGATTTGATGGAAGACTTCGTTAAAAACCCCGATCCTGAAGTGATGAAGCGGTTGGTGGGAGGGGCGGTATCCGCTCAGCAGATGTCATCACAAGCTCCTTCATATATGCAAAGATGTCCCACTCAACCCTTGGGTAGCAGGAGATGGCCACACAATCTATGCCCTTTCCAAGCGGTATAAGCGTCAACATCAAATCGGGACCATTATCCAATTGACGATATTGATAAACCTTGGCCTTGCTCATTGTTAATTGGATATGGCCTTAGGAATCAACATACAAAGCAAGTGGCCACGAGCAATGCCATCCCCGGACGTAGGTTCCATGGTGTCGAGATGCAAGATGCATCTTGTAGGGTGGAAGTGTTGACGATCGAGAGTGGATATGAAGACGACTTCATCGACATCCCGACCTCTGAGGGTATAGAGAAGCTTGGACAAGCAATAAAGAACTTCATACAATGGCCGAGATGGTACGTAAGGTTGATTGATCCACCAACGACACCCTCTCCACCGGTGCATCAAGCATCCCAAGAGGCGAAACAAGTCAACGACCAAGATCGCCAATGCATGCCCCAAAGATCCCGTATATTTATGAGCCACCGTAGTCATCCCCAATACATGATATGTCATTCTCATTGGATGAGCTCGAGGGGCCAGCCAAGAACATGCTCGAGCGTGAGACTCTGCCGACCAAGAAGGACACAACACCGAGAGAAGGAGGTAGAGCAAACTCCCCGCCACCACCAAAGAGAATGAAGATGAGCAAACTCCCCGCCACCACCAAAGCATAAGGAAGCAGAGCAAACTCCCCCACAAGCACCGGCCTCCAAGAAGGCAAAGAAATTTCCAATTCCAAAATTGGTTTCTCCCTATGAGCCAAAAAGGGGAAAGCAAAGAGTACGCAGTTCTATTTACGAAAGGGCTTGAAAGCGCGGAAGGCACAGTCGTTGAGCTCGAACCATCACGAGAATAAGGAAGCCGCCCGGCCAAGCAATCAAGTCGTGCCACCAACAAAGGAAGCCCCAAGTGGCGATGTACATGTCGAACCGCCATCAAATACACCATTGACCCTTAAGGATATAAGAAAGCCAACGGTTGATGATTATGTCAATGTCCCCAAAGTAACTATGTGCCCGGAAGGCCTATCTTTGCAATGGGACGGTGCTTGAAAAGGGTCCATGGACGATAAAAAGGTTTCATGATCTGGTACATGAGAGCAAATGAATCTTGGCTTTGCATGCGATTAGTGTTGACATACCAATGCAGACGTGTTTACTCTTGGCAAGGATAAAAGCGGGGCATTTGTTACCTTCGAGGACATGCACTTCTTTGTTGAACTATAGGAAACTTGACGTCCAACTCATTACAATCTGGTGCCTGTAAGTATCACTCATGCACACACATTGTTATTATTAAATTTGGAATGTGATAAACTCTAATATGTGGATGTTGTATGTAGTTTGCAAGACCACGAGTAGAGATCGTTAACTCTGAGGATCGATGGTCGGTTACACGAGTCCAATCAGGTTACAAGAAAATATGCACAAATTTGTACTTACAAATGAAGATAGAGAAGGACAAAACACTAGAACAAGTTGCAGAAGCTGTAAAGGAATTGCAACGAAAATACGAGGACAAATATGCCCTCTATCTCGGTAGAGCAATGCTGAGATATAAGTACAGGGATTTTATATTGGCACCCTACAACTTTGGGTAAGCGTGACCTCGTATACGTACTTCAAATTATCGTGTTAACCCTAAGTACATGTGTCGCTCACTCGTTTATTCATGCAGTGACCATTGGATTGTTTTTTATATTTATCCATTCAAAGGGAAGGTGCTTGTCCTAGACTCCTTACATTATCCTCCTCAGTCGTATCAAACATTCCTGATTCATTTAGAAAGGTGAGCCAACATGCAACCACATCCGTACTTATATGAATTAGAGTTTCTAAATAACTATAGTGTTTTATATTCGATATCTACAGGGCATGGCGGTTTTATAAGAAGCAAAAAGGACCGGTCGACGCGCCTTGCTTCCAGATCCTAGTGTGCCATTGACGATACAACACCATTATCCAGTAAGTTGTCCGAACACATATCATCATATAAATAATACACAAGGCATGACAATTTTAGTTTAATCTTTTGCTCATTAATTACATAGTGCCACAAGCAACCACCGGATCGGGTCTCTGTGGATACTATGTGTGAGTTCATAAGGCAGTGGGACGATCGCGCGAGGACAAAAATATGGTAAAAAATATCTATGTATGAAGTTTTCTCATTAAAGTTGGAAATATTAATATTGGACATGTGTCAATGATGCTTTTAAACTTTGTTTCGAGTTTAGAAGCAAAGGAAATGACGTGCCATTCACTCCAAAAACTATGGAAGATATAGTAGCAGACTTGTGCGGTTTTATTATGAGAGAAATAATTCCAAGTACCGGATCATATTTTTATGAAGCGGTGATTTAGCAAGTGAAAGATTTAGATGTTGATGGACCTAGCAGGTCTAAACTTGAAACGAAATGACATGTAAACACCAAATGGTTGAACTCATAACATGAAATGACGTGTATTATATGTAATTTTATGCTTGATGTTTGATTTCATGTGTACACATCTGTAATATTTATATGTGTTGTATGTATGATGCAATTTTATGGTTCATGTTTGCATATCTTATATATATATATACATATATATATGTGTGTGTGTGACAAATATAGTACAGTGTGGAGGCAAATATTAAAATTTGAAATAAAAAAAATAATTATTACAGTGGCTGAGAGTGAGCACTGTGAAAAAATGAGTTTTCACAGGCAGCTGACAAAGTGAGCCGCCTGTGTAAATAACTATTTACACAGGCGGCTGACAAAGTGAGCCGCCTGTGAAAACCCTTTTTTCACAGGCGGCTCACAGCCCGCCGCCTGTACTGTGGGCCGATTAGTACTGACCCCTAGTACAGGTGGTGGACTTGGCCGCCTGTATAAATGCCTCTACCACCGCCTGTGAAAACGTTTTCTGTACCAGTGATAGCTGATAACATGATTTCCTGCTACTCGAAACAGGATCTCTGCTATTTTCGTTATTTTCCGCTCACCGGATCAGGAAATAACCACAAAGCTGTCGAGATATTGTGACATAGTCACTTTGCTTCCATTGGTGAAATTTTTACGCCCTTATGACATGCATGGAAAAAAGAACAGGCCTTCGGAACATCTAGTTACTATACATGATTGTATTCTTTTGCTGCCCCCTCCTCTTCATCTCGTTATCTCATTATGATATTATATGCTCTGATTGAAAGGAAAATGCATCATTCAATAATCATTTTGGAATCTTATATTAAAAAATTGCAAAACGGAATGTGTCCATACTGTCGCCCGCAAAGGTTTTCTACTAGTTGTTTGTCTTTCTGTGATGGGAAAATCGGTTTCATAACTGTAGATTTTTTGCTCTCTTAGGGGCTGTTTGGTTTCACAGGAGCTCCTAAAATTCCTGTTACATCGAATGTTTGACACATGTATGGAGTATTAAATATAAACTAATTATAAAACCAATTGCACAACTTACGACTAATTTGCGAGATAAATCTTTTAAGCCTAATTAGTCTATGATTTGACAACGCGGTGCTACAGTAAACATGTGCTGATGACAGATTAATTAGGCTTAAAAAATTCGTCTCGCAAATTAGCCTCCATCTATGTAATTGATTTTGTAATTAATCTATATTTAATACTCCTTATTAGTATTTAAACATTCAATGTGGCATGAATTTTTAGAAGCGGCTAAAGAAACAAACATCCCCTTACTTATTTTCTCTCGGCACACATGCCAAATGACAAAAACAATAATGTGGTCGTTGGGAGAAAACAACAACGCAATGGTCAGCGACGAGGCCTGAAGAGTCAAATCTGAGTGAGCTTTGTAGTATTGGTTGTAAATGGACCGTTTTGCCTCTAGTCAGGTTTGAATATTCCAAGGGTCTAGTTGGCGGGCAGGGGTAAAAAGGTCCATTCAAATGAATAGTGCTGCTGTAAATAATGTGTTTCTGTATACTATGATATGACATTTATTGATCATGAGTTGTCCCATCGGTTGGCCTTGTGCCTTCCTTAAAATCCAGTTGATGTTGCCAAAGTCCGTTCGGCTGCACTTTATTGCAGTGCTGTCTCGGCTGCAGCTGTAACCCTTTTGTGAGAGTCATACTGTAGGATGGCCCGATCCCATGGTTAGAGTTAGTTTGAGTTATTTGAGCCTAAATAACCCTAAAATATTCAAACAGGTGGGTTAGAGTAGGATTAAAAGCATCTAACTCATCCAAAAAAACTAGCTCCCCAAGGAGATGCTAATTAGGGTTATTTTTGATGGGGTTCATACTGGAAAGCAGTTTTCTCACCTCTCTAGCCCGCACCGGATCCCATCGCCCGATTTATCTCCTTCCTCGCGCCTCGCGCGACGACGGATGGAGCGCCGCCGCCGCCGACCCTAGCGCTCTGCGCTGCCGCCCACCGCACCTCGCCCCCAGCGCTCGCTCCCGGCGCTTGCTCCCGACGCTCGCCCCCGACGCTGGCCCCAGCGCTCACCCGGCGCTTCGCCCCGCGCTTCGCCCAGCGCTGAACCCAGCGGCGCTTCTTTCGCCCCAGCGCTTCGCCCGGCGCTTCGCCCGGCGCTTCGCAGCAAGCAGGAGCTGCGCCGCCGCCAGAGCCCAGCCGACCAGATCTCGCTCGCGCTCCACCTCCCCACATCCGGCTCGCCAACGACCACCAGCTCCAGCTCCTCACCCGCGATGGACGGAGACGGCTTCGACGACTGGGGCTCGCAGACGTCGGCGAACGGCCCCGCCCGCGCTCCCGCTGCCGGCGCTCCCGCTGTCGGCTTCGACCTCAACTCTGAAGCGCCGGCCGGGGAGGGGTTCCCGGGATTGGGTCTCTACGGATCAATCCTCCAGGGCGACGACGACGAGATCCTCCCAGGCCGCGATAGGGGCTCCGGGCTCCCTCCCTATCGCCAACCGCGTGTCGGAGCCAGAGCCGGAGACGGAAGGGCGACTTCGGCACAACCCTTTGCTCGCCAGCTGAACTTTGGAGGCTCGTCCTCGGCGGCTACCGGTCGCAGAAGAGGAAACGGTGGCGTCTTCCCAGGCGGGTCATCTTGGGGCGGTGGGCAAGTGTCGGCAACAGGCGAACTTCGCCGCTACGGCACCCATCCGCCATAACCAGCGCACCAGCACAGCGCTCCGTGGCAGCGGCGGCCAGCGCGTACCGCGTTCTCGGCCACCGAGGGCACCGAGGAGTACCGTTCGTGGGCAACCATCCAGCTCCGGCGCTCCCTTTGACAACACTGATGAAGAAATGGAGGATGATGCGGAGGAGTTAGCGAGTTCCGGAGGTTTATCAGTGAGCCAAACCAATCGAGCCCAATGGAATGATGTTAATAGTGCTTGCTTGTTAGAATTGTGCCTGGAGCAACGTGCAGCAGGAACATATAATGGTTCACAAATGAGTGGTGAAGGTTACGAAGCCGTTATCGATGGCTTACTGGCTAGAAGGCGTTTGCTTTATAACCGTTTACAGGTGAAGAACCAAATACTCATACTGAAAAGCACCTACTCTTTCTGGCGTTACATGCAAACACACACGGGATTGGGGAGGAAACCAGATGGATCCATTGATGCCGACTCTGATTTCTGGATAACAAATACAGAGGTATTAGCACTCAATTTATTTTGCAACATGTCAGCAATCTTGGCATTTGTTTTGCAACTCATCAATTTTATTTGTCACTGTAGAAGAAACCATACCTAAAGAAGCTGCAGCGGGGTCCTCCAGCAAATGAGGATTTGCTTGACCAACTTTTTAGAGGGTGCACTGTGGATGGAAGCAGTGCCTTTGTGCCTAGAGATGATTATGGTGAGTCAGGGGCAAGATGAAGAGTCAGAGGAAGACTTCCAAACAACACCTAGAAGTACAAGCACCCAAAGGAGCCAGAAGGGCAAGAGGTCATTAAGCACTTCAAGCACTTTGTCAAGTCCAGTGAAGAAAAGCAAGAGCCCAATGGTGAAGGCTGTGACGGACATAGCCAGTACCTACAAGGAGTCCGTCGCAATCAACACTAAGAAAATGCAGAAACGTGCAATTGAGAAGGCTGCATGTTCTGTCGAGAGGTGTCAAGAGCTGGCATTTGAGTGTGGCGTTGAGCGAACCGTTGAAGCTGTCTATGCTATGTCCAAGATGTTCGAAACAAAGTACCAAAGGGAGTTCTTCTGTGGCAAATTAACTCGTGACCTTAGGTTGGGGTACTTTAAGAAATGGTGCAGGGACAACAATATGGAGTAGTGATGTGTCTATTAAGCTGTTGAATTACTATCTGTGTGTGATGTGTTGAACCTATAATCTGTGTGTGATGTGTGTGATGTGTTGAACCTATTTCTTTTATCTATGGGCCGAAAGTAGTTCTTTTTATCTGTGGGCTGAACGTATTTCTTTTTATCTATGGGCTGAACGTATTTTTTTGTTATTTGTGTTGGAGCAGGAAGAAGATGATGGAGGTAGCTCACGTGAGGATGAAATAATATCCATGTGTCGTAACAATTTGAGGCAGAGCGAGAATTTGATCGTGCAATTGGTTCCTATCTTCGGTATGTACTCTGATAATTACTTTGACAAACTACCTAGGAGGGTCAACAGAGATTCTGGTTTGGATTGGGTCATGGAGACACTTGCTCGAGATACCCAGTGCTATAACATGTTTAGGGTGGAGAGACCATTATTTTACAGGCTACATAACACTTTGATCCAGTCATATGGCTTCAAGTCCATTTTAAAAATGTCATCTATAGAAGCTCTTGCTATGTTTTTATGGATTGTTGGTTCACCCCAGTCAGTTAGACAGGTTGACAACCGTTTTAGGAGGTCTTTGGAGACAGTAAGCAGGACATTTAACAGAGTTTTGAGATGTCTACTTAAGTTAGCAGAAAACATAATTGTACCCAAGGACCCAACTTTTTCGGAGGTGCACCCAAACTTAGAAAATCCTATATTTTGGCCACACTTCAACGACTGCATAGGAGCTATAGATGGGACACATGTGAAGGTTGTGGTGGATAAGAGTAAGATGATTCCATATTTGAATAGGCACAATGAAACCAGCCAGAATGTTCTTGCTGTTTGTGATTTCGACATGAGATTTACCTTTGTGTTGTCGGGATGGCCCGGTTCGGCACATGACATGAGAGTTTTCAAAGATGCTGTGAGTACTTATCAACACAAATTTCCACGTCCACCACCAGGTTTGCTACTTCAACTAACTTGCAACATTTTTTTTATCCAATAGAACTTGTTCATCTGAGTCTAATTGTGTGCATGCCTTTCTAATTGTGTGCCTGCCTTTCATAATATGTAGGGAAGTACTATGTGGTTGATGCGGGGTACCCAAACCAGGTTGGGTACCTTCACCGTTCAGATGTACAAGGTATCATGTGGAGCAATGGCACAATGGACCGCCGCCACAAGGTATGAAAGAAACCTTCAACCATGCACATGCCAAAGTTAGGAATGTCATTGAGCGATCTTTTGGAGTGTTGAAGATGAAATTTTGGATTTTGTTGAACATGCCAAGTTTTCCTGAGAAAAAGCAAGCTAGAATTATTGTTGTTTGTATGGCTCTGCATAATTTCATTCGAGAGAGCAGAATTGCTGATAGGGAATTTGCTGCCTGTGATGTGGATGAAAATTATAACCCAATGCCTAGTTCTTCTGCATCCACATGGCCAGAAGATGAACCTCTTGTTGAAGATGTCAACATGAATGACTTCCGTGATGAGCTAGCTCATGCTTTGTTTTATGGAGATAGTTCCATTTGATAAATTCATTTGTTGTAATTCGACCAGTATATTTTTCTTAAATTCAACGTGTTTTGGATGCGACATTTGTAAGGATGATTTGTTTGTGTCATTTGTGAGTGAGAGAAGGTCACACAAGAAATAGCCACACCAAATCCTGCTGAAAAGGTACTTTAAATGAGCCAAATGATTGAAAAGTGCAATTATTGTCAATCTAACCTTGACATCCAAACACCACATGGGTTAGAGTTAGTTGAGGGCTAGAGTTAGAGTTAGAAACTAACTCTAACTCAAACCAAGTTAGAGAATCCAAACAGGGCCAATAAGCTCGTTAGTCTCTTCGATAACAACAACATTCTTTGGTCAGAAAGAATTGCATCATATAGTGACACCCTTGTCTCAAGTGCATATAGTTGTCACATCGTGTTTCTTTGAACACAATTTCGTTGTTTGCTTCCATTGACTTGTAATACTTGAAAATATCCAAGTCAACTATCAGTCATTGATCAAAAAAGCAGTGGATGCAAAAAAAATCTTCAGATCAGACCTCTGGTTCAACACATGTGCTCATCAATGGCAAAATACTTTTCTGGTGAGCTCATGTATTTTTTATTCAAGGACAAAAAGATTACACAATATGATTGTATGTTCATAAACTTACACAGACCATTTCATATAAATACAGATCCGTTGGGTGGCGAGAGGTTCTGAAGGTGATGAGAGGCCAAAGTCGAAGATACAGTGAGATGACAAGTTAATACTCTTGCACTTACTAAGATAAAATGAATTTCAATTTACCTACACTAATAGAGAACAGACTTTCGGTTCTAGGCTTTTAGTCCTAGACATTTTTTGGCCCGAGACTAAAGATAGGATTAGTCCCGGTTGGAGCTTTTGCAAGAGGGGACTAAAGGTCCTGGTTGGTGGCTTAAACCGGGACTAAAGGTCACCCTCTAGTCCCGGTTAGAGCTACCAGCCGTGACTAAACCTTTAATTCTGATTGGTGGCTCCAACCGGGACTAGAATTATGACAGAACCACTCAATTTATATAAGATCAAGTATGGCTGTCCCCATCTAACACGTTGACGCGCACATACTTTCACTTATATAAACCCGGTAGTCCGTCGAGTGTCACGAAGGACCTCAGTAAATCAACATCACAACCAAGATCGCATGATTAGGTAAATACACATCACATACACAGAGTTGCAGCGGAAATAATATTACAAATGGGTTCACAAATAATAGTACAAGTTTGGGTTTCAAAACCGGTTAAGGGAAAACAACATAGCTTTCAAATGATTACATTAATATAAGTTCCAAATACATTGCTAGCACAAGTGACATCCTCCGACAAAAGCATATAGATGAGAAATAAATATAGAGTCACCGAGCCCACCGGCGGTTAGCCACCATCTTCAGCAGGCCAAGACTTCACCTGCAACATGGTGGGATAAACCCTGAGTACTCGAATATACTCAGCTAGACTTACCCGTCATAAACCAAAAATATAGTGACACCAAGGATCATGAAATGCTATATAAGTGGAGCTAGCTTGACAACATTTTGCATAAAAGCCACTAGTTGAGGTATGCATTTTATAATTTGGTAACCAAGTTAAATATAGCTATTCATCTCTAGATTAGCAACTAACATGTGCCAAACATGTGGAATATCATTTAATAACATGCAATAGTAACCATAGCCGGTGTAACATTTCCATGTTCATCGTAACCATCAAATTACATAGTTCAATTACTACGATGCTGTGACTAGTCGAGTTTCTCACTATCATGGAGAGATGGCGATTCGAATCGGTTGCAACCAGCTGGGCAGTTATTCCTAACACAAACCCAGATATACCTACGCCAAGGTAGTCTTAGGTCACCTTTGGTACAACTCAGATACACATTTCGCGGGTTCGATCAGCGTCACACAATCAGGGACAACCAGCTGCCAGGACGATCAGGACTACCCTGCCCTTGGGCTCACGTCTGGCTCCCCACATATCTTTACTACCATCCAGAGTGCGCACTCTTACAGAACGGGGCTCGGCCTGAATTGAGCTACTCGGCTTCACGGTCGAAATGAGTTATTCGACCAGCTAAGTGAGAGGCATGCGTTCAATCTCGGCAGAAGTGCTAGTAACGGTACGGTCCTTAATCGACATAGATAGGATAAAACATGCACATAAGACCTCCATGTCCTGCTGCCTCTCAATCCCCAAATCCTGTCCGGTCTCCGTTTATTCATCATCACATGGTTATTTTCTACGATAGAAAATATAGCCAACCGTGCTTTGGTATTCACCTATATCTCGTAGGTGATAGGAAATCACCCGACTTCTACCGGTCTAAGCATTGCTAAGCATACATTCGATCCTAGACCTACATAGGGTTCAAGGTATATTTCTAGACAATGTAGTTCTATGCATCAAGTATTTCTAACCAACTCTTATAACCTAATGCATCAAATATAAATGACTCAAGTGATGTTTGTAAAAACATAGGAGGCTTAGAATACTCCGGGGCTTGCCTAGGATTCAACACTAGGTCAGTATTTGTTAGATAACTCTCGCTTAGCGAGCATCTCCCATCTTGGCACTTGCTTAATCCTTCCATCTTCTGGATGGATTCACCAAACTCCATCTTTGGGTTCGGCTCCAACATTACGTCCTTCACGTGGTGCGTCTAGCGTACCTAGATGAGATGAAACAATGCAAGTGCATGAATGTGAAGAATGGCAATATGAGATGCCTCACATAAAAGTATTTAAGATGAGCACAAGGTTACACCGAACATATATAAGCACTCAACGTTACTTAATTAAAAATCCCACAAGTTTCACAAGCATGACACAAGTTTCACAAGGTTTTAGATATATTAACTTAACACCGTCAAAGGCATGAGCCACACTTAGCAACACACAAAGCAAAGCAAGGTGGAGCAAACAATTTTAGGTACAAATACATATTCTGAACAACAGCACCAAAGTCACTTGTTCTAATCATACCTAGAGTTCTAGGCATGCAAAAAGTGTGATTCAAAACTTTCTAGAAAGCTAATGAAATTATATAATTTTTTTTTATTAACACAAAAAATTGATTCAACAAATAACAAGGTCAAAATACATCATGAAGCAGAGCTTATACAACTAAGGACAGAAAACTGATATTAACTTCAGTGCATATCTCAAGTTATATTCATCCAACAAGCATGATCCTTAACTTTATAGAAACATTATTAAATTATCTATAACTTTTGTATTATTATCTAAAGATGATTCTACAACAAACAAGGTTAAACAACACTAAGAAGGCATCTCTGTCCAGATTTGGACAGAATCTGCCATTCAATCCACTTTGAACAGCAATAACTAGAGTTTTAGACCACCAAAAGCAGTGATCTTAGACACTTTAGAAAGCTTAGGAAAAGCACTACAACTATCCTATTATCATTAATACATGATTCCATGTTTAAATAAGCCAAACAATA